TTTTAGATATTTCTAATTTTATATCTAAAATAGACATTGCTTTTGGAAAAATTAAAGGCAATTGCATTAATCCGGAAGAAAACCGATGGAATGACATAATTGTTATAAACAAAACATTTCAATAAAATCAACACATATGTATACAAATATGCCCTCATAAAGATATTAAACTACCCGCCATCTCATTCATGGGCGTCACCAGACTTTATCTAGAGGGGGGAGGCCGATTATCAACAGAATTTGTTTTTTTTAAGAGAATTCTTATCAACATGTCCAATTTCATATTAATGAAAAATTTACATGTGTTTTTGAGTCTTCCACTTTTGGACTGAAGGCAGTTAGTACCTATTTTCAATTAATTTATGTATTTATTGTACAATTTTCTACTCTGTGGCGGGATGGGAGGGGTGGGGGGTGCAGCGACTCTCGACCACACCCTAGAGAAATAGTTTACACTAAAATTCATTCATTCATTATTTTTTTCTAGTAAAACACAATTTGGCAAACTACATACGCAATTATCTATACTTCTATACTATTACAATAAAGCGTAAACACTTTCTTTGTTGCTTAAGATGTCAGCAATGACAGCATGTTTTTGAATAATATCCTCTTTAATAAAAATCCCTACACTTGCGTCAAGCTTTAGGCTATATATTTTAACATCATTAAATTTAGTAAAAATATTTTGGATAAAAACCTTAGTGTGGGAAAGAGACCATAAGTTGCTGCCAACATCAGGGAAACAAAGTTGTCATGGCGCCATGTCATTTTGACATTTGTAATTGATAATTTGACAAATGAAAACAATAAAATAAAATTTTCATAATTTCATGCGGATGAAGTCGCACGGGAACAGCTAGTAATTTTATAAAATAACTTCATTATTTTTAAGAATTCTCAGAAAATAACTCGAAAAATTAAAATATCGACATACTACCTATGTTCTAAGGCAATGAAATTCTACATTAATGAAGTCGCGAGAGTGAAAACTGCGGGTTCTTACTACCGAAACACCTATACAAAACATGTTATCTCGGCGTGACAAAGAGAATGACAGTTGCTGAGAACAAAGCATAAAGCACACGAAAGCGAGGAGAGAGAGAGAGAACGTCTATAATTATAAACTTCATACAATATTATAAGTGAAAAAGTGTGAATGTAAGTATGGATGGATGGATGTTTGTTACTTCATATTTGCAAAACGGTTTAATGCATCTTAAAGAAATTTAGCACAGATGTAAAACATAGACTAAAAGAACAAAGGCTACTTACTAAGTTTTTTTTATTCCACACGGATAAAGTCGCGGGCAAATGCTAGTAATATTACAACAATAATTCAAATCTTTTGAATTTTTGTATGTTTTAAATAAACTCAACTACTTTTTCGATTAAAAAAAACTATATCTATACATATAATAAATTAGGAGTGTCTGTAATATCAAAAGAAAAATTCCAGATTTCGGGAAGATGATGTATTTGCGTTGTTGATAACGAAAATCGCTTTTTAAAAATTTTTGTCTGTCCGCAAGTCGCGTTTGTTTCGGGTAATCTCCGAAATGGCTGGACTTTCACTGAAGGGTAGCTGGCATAGACGAACATATTATAGGCTACTTTTTTAGAAATTCCGCATTTAAAAATGGCGTACCGGTGGTCCGATTTTGAATTGTGGAATTCGACTCAAAGATAGCTGGTAGAAGGGGGGCACGCGGGAATATGATAGATGACTTTAGAAAAAACCGCGCTAATGACGTTTGCTGTTGCAAGCTCGTAAGCTCATACGACTAAACAGTTGTGCGATAATTGTCAAAGGTGTGCGAAAGTTTCGATGGAAGAATGGATGTTTGTTAGAGTTTGTAGCCTACATGAAATTTGAAATAGACGTTGAAAATACTCTGCATGAATACGTTACTTACTTTTGATTTTTTTTCTTAATTTTACGATAACGGAGTCGCGTTAGTAAAGCTAGTATAAGAATATTATTTTATTTAAATGCTAGTATTCTTTATAGCCTTTGGTTCAAATCCATTTATTTCTACGTCATAAAACGTTCAGTTGTTAGAATGACGACATAGCGATGAAGCGCCAGTAGTTTATTGGTTAAGGGGACGGACGTGCCATCATGTGGTCGTAGGTTCGAATATTTTCGACTTGGAAATAGCATAATCCTATGGCTTGGATGTACTTGTAAGACAAGTGACGATTTCAGACCTTCTAATGTTAATAACGACATAGTCTTATGACGATATTTTAAAGGGCAAAGGTGTCATCGTATGACGTAATAGGATATAACCGAGGTCGTTTAGGGGTGGGGGGACACGATCAATGGGACTGCGCATGTGCAATAGATTAGGTTTTTGGGCCAAGCCCCCCCCCTCTCTTTAACTTTAGCTGCAGTCGTTGCAAGTTTAGTGAAGACCACTACAGTGAACGACGCGCGCTGTACTATAATCATCACTTCTTAAAACTCCTTAAGACTTTAAAACTTCCATCATGATATGGACGATTTTTATGATTTCTCTGGGAAAATTGTGTTTGATTAGTCTTATTTTTTATGTGTTGGCAACATTTCTCCTCCTTATAATAATTTTTATTTTCAAATAAATGTGTACTTTATACAAATGTCTTCGGTTATGTTGAATTTGGAGTTTTCTGTTTAATTATTGCTTTTTAAATTCTGCGCTTGCGTCATACGTGCTGATTAGTGCATTTGGATAACAGGAGTAAAAAAACATTTTATGCGTAAAAAGGATATCTACCATAAGGAAGTTTTAGTTGGTAAGCATTTCAATATTTTATATTCAAATCATTTTACTACATACTCTTCTATTAAAAAAAAAAGTAAGTAGTCTGTGTCTTCTTCCAGACTATATTCTACATCTGTGTCAAATTTCATCAAGATCAGTTAAATCTTTTAGGAGATACTTAGTAACAAACTTCCATACAAATTTTCTTTCAGGTTAGATGTAGCATAATCTTTATACACGACTTTGCTTTTATGATTCTTAAATAAATTCGTCTTAGATAAGCTAGACAAACCCTATATGAACAGTAGAAGAATTTAATTACCTATCCACTTAGGGTCGAATGTTGTATAGCAAACTGTTACCACAAGAGTTATAATTTAGCTGACACATGTGTTTCTATGAAGCGTTTCCAACCTTTGCTAAAATTAAATGTAATTTTATTAATATAATGACGTCCTAATTTTTACATAACACCGGCCCAGGTGTATAAAATATCCCAACTTTTCATATTTGAAAGGTGACATATTTACATATTGTTTAGATGAAAATCGATACCGCGCCAGTATAACGGCGCAACACTAGTCCGATGACGTGCGCGTCCCCTCCCTATAGTAGCTGTCAATGTCAATTACGAGTTATAACAAGCGCGCTATTCCTCTCTCTCTCTTGTAAACCGAATATTCACTAGTGATTACAGTACAATTACATTATTCACATATATCTTTATTCCTTATTGAGTATATAATAAATTTTACATGATTTATATAGAAATAAAATAAAACTTATATAAAGAGCACCACCGGTTGCGGAATGCGATGACTCAAGCAACCAGTGGCTAGGGCTGCAGACAAGTCTTCCTCACAAGGCGTGCCGTTATAAAATAATTGTCTTTTAAATCGGGCCTTTAATCCAACTGTCTAGCGAGAGCTTCTTAAGAGATTAGTCGAAGGTCTTCGTTACTATCCCATCAATAACATTATTATTACAAATAATTTACAATTATATTATTGTTTAAAAATTTACATCTGCATACATGACATGCGTTGACATTATTTTTTTTTATAACTTAAAGTTATCGTCAGTTACGCTGACGTAATCTCCAGACAAATCCCACTTGAAATGCGGCCTTGTGAGACAAGACTTGGGACCTTGGAATAATATTGTAGGATGTTTAGTCCAGAGAGGCGCTGCTAGGTTGGTTCCATCACAAAACATGTAAAACCTACATGGTCATAGAGAATGTATAATAGAGGGCGCTAGTTGTCACAATTTATCACTTGTAGTCTAAATCTACACGGTCTGTGGTCTGCATTTATGCCTTTCATAGACATCCTTTGAGTTGTTTAGGAGATATAGATACGTTCTAAGAAAAATCTATCCAAAAAAACGTAAGTAGTTTATGTGTTCTTGAAGACTATGCTTTACATCTATGACAAATTTCATCGTAAACTGTTCATTTGTTTAGGCGAAAAACTTTGATTTGAAATTTTTTAAAGTTAGAGAAAATTTTATAAATAACGTTGATAGCTGGGCTGGGACTGGAATCAATATTTTCTCGCATGCGTAATAGCAACTTTCCCGGACAGGATTCTGGGAATTGAAGGTGAACTGAGCGGGTAGGGGGGTGGGGACGCAATAAGTACTAAGTTTGTGAGCACACTTCGTAGAAAATTACCCTTAAGTTTATCGAGTTAGGGTTCATAATTCAAAAATTTATAACACAACGTATCTTCATACTAGAACTTTATAGTATCACTAGCCGTTGCTCGCGGATTTGTTACCGTGAAATTATAAAAAAAATATAGCCTATGTCAGTGACAACGTAGCTTTTTAATGGTGAGACATTTTTTTGAAATAGGCCCGGTAGTTTTGTGTTATTTTAACATCAACAAAAATACAAATCTTTCTTCCTTATAATATTCTGGATGTAAAGTTTGGATGGATGAATGGATATTCATTACTAGGTATTTTAAAAACGGCTCTAAAAATATATACATACATAAAACAAACTTCCATACCATTTATAACTATTATTTGTAACTATTAATTTTATCAAAATGTCCGACAATCAGAAAACATTTCAATCTTTCTAAACAAAGGATAAATCATGGAAAACTTCCGAAGGCGGTAATCGATTAATCTGGTGGGAGCTGAAGGTCCCTGAGGACGCTTGTTGGCGCATGCGCAGCGCTCGTTGTCAACCCGCCGCCCTCTGCATCCATTGCATTGTTCCACTTGAGTTTGCGGGGTTCCGACGCGCCTACGCGACTTTTAAATAAAAGAATATCAATTTTTATTTTTAATTTCGGTCTGATTAGTTTAAACATGAAGAATTCTTATTTGAGATTGTTCTTTATAGTATTCGTGTATGGACCACTGTATGTTTTCATTTCGATATTCTTCGGTATGATAACTAAGTACATTATTGCGAATTTTATGTAATTGGTGTGTTTGTGGACTTAACATCATATTATCGGACGCCCGGGAGGTATAGGATCGAACGGTTGACGGGCACATTTGTGTCCTTGTGAAAAACAAAATGAAGATAAAAATAAACATGACACCGCAAAGGCAGAGAACATTGTTGTTGGTGATCATTAATTTGGTGATCTTCTATTTCTACAAGATGTTGGTGGCGTATATAAAAAAGTTATGGTACGGCGAAGATACAAGCGTTCAAGTGCCGGGAGAAGGCACTTCGCGTGAGACAACCGATTAAGTTACTAGTGAAGAGGTTCAGTCTGGGAACAACTCGCTGCAACCTCAAATAACAAAAGACAATTACTCAAGTTCAGTTTAGTTGTTTTGGAAGAAAATATTTAGTTCAAATTTAATCAGGTAAGATTTTTGACACTGTGTGTAGGTGTTAATTTCTTCGAGATTTACTTTTGTAAAAAAATGAGGACAGCGACATCGAACGTTTGTCTGATTTAAATTTGTTTTTACAAGAGAACAAAATCTCAACTTTATAAAACTTACTTTGTATAAATGTTTGTCGGACAATTTCTTTGTTATTATTTCAATTACTTATAATTTCGTGTTTAAACAAACTTACTTTGAACCTTAAATCAAAAAATAAAATATGTTTTTTAAGGAGAGACGGTAAAATCTGTACAGTCAAATCTGTCAAACTGCGGTTGGGCAACGCCCGGCTGTAGGTAACGCCGCGCCAGTGCGCATGTGTTATCAAGTTAAGACAATCTAGGAATGTCAAAGTCGCAAAGACTTGTTGCTTCATGCATTTTTATTTCCGTGCCGGCGACAAATAAAACTATTAAAACACTTAAAAATCAATAAACCAATACAAAAATAATTTTTTGAAAATTCACACAAATCATAACGCATAAAATGATTTGTAATTGACCAAATCGTCTCTCATACAATACTACTAACTGATGGACATATTAATGTTATTAATATTTTCATTTTACTTATGGAGAATTTATAAAATATGACTCCATTCCAATTCTGAGTGTGTTTCGATATACAAAGATTTTTTGAATTGCGGTTAATGCGCCAAAGAAAGTAAAAATTTAATTTCATCAAATCTACACATATGGTATGTTCAAAAATCTATTAATTTCGGAATCTTAACAAGTATAAATTTTATAGCAGTTTTAAACCGAACATATTAAATATTTGCAGTAGTAGCCATATGCAAAAAATGTTGAAACGCTGTTATTGCAAGCCAGACTAGCTACCCTAGGTAGATGCCCTCCCTCCCAACACCCTCTTCCCTTAGACCTAGCCAATATCATCGGCTATTCTGTCTGATACATTTACATTTACATTTACATTTACATTTAAATGTCTTTGTTAAATCTCTTATTAAATGCGATTGGGAATAATAAAAATTGAATTCCGACTAACATTTGTATTTTTTAACTTTTTTATTTTAATCCTGTGCTTTATACTTCGTTTTACTGCGTATTCACATGACCTCGTATTTCGAACGTCGCAATAACAGGAAAAAAATCCTACTCTCCATAAAAAAACTCCAGACATTCTAAAAATAGTCTTTGAAGTCGGCTGAAATTTGCATCCGTTCAATATTTTCTCGCCTGCGCAATAACACCCTGTCTGGATTCACGGAGGGGGGGCGCTGAGTGACAAGGTCTCTTGCAATAAGTACCAACTTTTTTCTGCAAACTATACTACATTATGAATTTTAAGTTGAAACGTTTAAGGTTCATAATTACAAAACTTAGAACAGTTACAGATGAGTTATGAAGTCTACATTTTTTTTTATAATCAATCCAATTAAAAATATCTCCCAAATTTGCAGGTCTCTAGTTCGATTTCCACCATGTACTTTTAGACAACTTATTTAATTGATTCTGTCACTTTAAACTCAGAGCAACACTTCTCGTCCAGACCCAGGTTGCGCGCCAATCTATCCATACTTCTAGTGACATTGACAGCTGTCAGCTAGGG